TGATTTATTTCCTTGCTAATGTTTTGTGCAGTATGAAGTAGATGCTATGGCTGCGAAATAAAATTAGCGCGTTTCGCTCACTTGTGCAAAGGTGCTTTTTATGTAGAAAAAATCTATCATGGGTCTTAATGCCATAAATGGGTGAATCCAATGTTCATGACATTTTTTGGGACGACGTAGATAAAAAGACTTTAATGCTATTTTGTCTATGACGAAATCACAATCACTTAGGAAATCACTGTAACTACAACCAATCATTACATCAAATTATTATGATTTAAAAGTAGCAATAATTTCCATGTCTACTAGATACCTCAATCACTCGGTCAAAAGCAAAAATAGGTAAAACACTATAAACCAGACAGCGAAAAAGTTTCTTAACGTGGTCTTCTGTGACGAGGTGGTATCTTCATCGGTATGCGTTTCATGTTGTATGTACTTAATTGAATTATAATTGACTTTACGAAAATACACATAGCAGAGATGAAACTAGTATAGTTTCAAGACCCAAAAAAATATTTAGTTAAATTAAAGACCCATTACCTAAAATATATTTTTGTGTTGCCGCAGATATAATTTATAGTTTAGAATTCAAATATTTTTTTTTTAAATTAATTAATTGATGAATAAATACTAACTGTACTTAAGTACAAAAACAAATAAATTATAACCTGTTTGTACAGTTATTTGTTTAAACATTTAATCACTTTACAAAAGTAAGAATTAGATGTTATTATTGCATTTATTTGCTTAATAATAACAATTGCAAAGTGTATGTACAAATATACATATAATTTTTTTTAATTAATTTTGAAAAAACCCAAATTTAGCACCAAAATAATTAGTTATAAAGTTAGTTATTGAGAAAATAATTAAAATTATTACCCAAACTGTATGTTGTTTACTGGCCTGTTAGTATCCCTACTAATACTTATAATAAATGCGAGTGTGTCTGTCTGTCTGTTACCTCTTCACGTTTAAACCGCTGAGCCGATTTAGATGAAATTTGGTTGTAGATATAGTTTGAGTCCCAGGAAAGGATATAGGATAGTTTTTAGTATAGAAATCACCTCTTAAGGGGGTGAAAAGGGGGATGGAAAGTTGTATGGCTAATTTATAACTGCATAATCGAATTAAAAGAAATTTGGTGTAGAAATAGTTTGATTCTTGCGGAAAGACATAGGCTAATTCTTATCGCGACAACCAAGATAACGCGGGCGAAACCGCGCGAAATAGCTAGTATGCTATATTTCCAAATTCCAATAAGGTGAGTTCCTACATAAATTAATGTTAATTAATGTTAATGTTAATTAAAAATTAATTACTTACCTACTTCTCAAATCTTACATTATGTTTTAAAATAATAAAAATTCCATTGTATTTTTTTAGTTGAAATTAAATAACTTAATAAATCAAGCAGGGCCGTTTGGGCTCAAATTAGGCAGATCTTGTACTACTTATGGCAACTAAAACTTACCTATATATTATTAGAATTTGGTATTATATAGCATTAGTATATATTAAGACTATTTTAGAAGATTGAAGATATTTTAGACTATCTGGTACCCGTGAGTACTTTCGCGTGGAGTTTGAAAAGCTCTGCCTCAGGGCCGCCTTGTACCTACGATGTACAGAGCGTGCACACGGGTGGAATTTTCAAGGGGGCGGCATAATTTGCATGTCCAAATGTATTTTTATCTCACCATAGTATCGTAGTAACAGCGTATCGCAGCATCATAATAACATCTATTAATCGGCGTACGAAAATAAATGCAAATGTTTACAGGCTTCGAATTACTTTATTAAACATAAGTACGAGAATGTATAATTAGAATTACTCAAGATGCGGGCGCGAGGTTCCCAAATATCCTATACCGGGCGAAAGTTTTACGTTCGGGATATTATGGGACTTAATTCTGGCACGCTGTTATTGCGACGGTAAGACGCGTACTGGAAATTTGGCTTTAACATTTTGAAGTTTGGTTGAAACACGGGACACTGATATTGGCTGACGCAAAGGATGCTTTGGAGGTCCCCTGGGTCTGATCCACAAAGAGCATACGCCCGGGTGCTGCCACTACGATGACCAGGGCGTGGTCATGACGCTTTACATGCTGCCAGAATATCCAGCGTGTATGGAGCAGAGGCATGACCTCGTGACTGATTGCGACCATGGTACGGAACGAAAAACTTTTCCTGCGGGCCAAGTGGGACCGGGAGGGACTTAGAATCCTCTCCCAGCTTACCAGGCCTGGGAACGGACCAGGTATAAACGGTTGGTCGCTGAGTGATCTCCGTCCTTAATAAGCTCCGGGCCAGGAGATGACAGGTGGCGCCCGCTCCGAAACTTCTTAGCGACATTGAGGGGAAACCGTGGTCACTAAACATCAGGAGACCATCTATAAGCCGTAAATGACTCGGGGCTCGTCGGGGTATTAGGGATTTCCTTTCTAGGTTACACTTGGTTGCTCGGCTACAGCCCGAGATGGAGTGGCGTGCGGTGTTAGCGGCCGCACGGCATGGCAGGGTGTCCTTCGGCAGCCGAAGGATGCCTTAGTATGAAGCAGCATGTCAAAGCATACTGCGTCACGTCCTGGCATCTTGCAGATAGCCCAGCCACTCAATAGGGCCGGCGTTGACAGACGTCGCGACACGGTACGGCTTGGTAAACGATTTTATTTCTGATCAAGTTCTTTTTATCCATATTTCAATGTGTTTAGAATTCATATTATTTTACTTTTTTGATACAACTACACCGTGCTACGTCTTGGTATATGACAGCCAAACTAATTGAAATAAGGTTTAAGCCGGACATGGCGGTGTAGTCCTCAAATGGGGTGTAGCCTGGGCTGGGCGCGTGGGCAAAGGAGGAAGCAAACGCCTTTTGACTCACACTGTCTCTCATGTTCTCCACAAATGATGTACCCAGAATTGTTTTTGTTTCTAAATATCAGTTTGTGAGTAGTACCATAATGGAACTACTGGGATCAGAAGACTGGTTCAGCTCAAATTTTGACACGATATACAAACCGTTTCAAAGACTGTTCATATTTATTTTTTGCATCAGCTTTGGTCTTTATTGCCCATTAATGCAACCACAGTGTGCCACAGCGTAGCATGGCAGGGTATAGCTAGTATTTTATAAAAGAAAACAATCCATTTAAATTCAAATCTTTTACTGTGAAGCATTTATGTCGTATTTACAGAATTCCTTTGTGTACAATCATCATGTCTGCAATTATTTTATTTTCTCAAACCTTTACATTATCTATAATGTTTTAATTCTTTTTTGTGTGACAAGTCTCGCATTAGGAATATATTCTGTGTCGCGGGAAACTTTACAAACATACATGAAATGGACACAAATTACAATGATGTTATATTGTTTATGGTATAAGACATTTATTTCTCACAAAGAAACAATACAATTATCTGTGTAATAAAGGATAACTTAATTTAAACTTAACTATAAGGTATTCAGACTAAGCAAATAAAAATACACAAATAAATACAAAATAATGTAGGTACTTTGGATTTAATAAATTTACAAAGACCTGTTATAAATCATATGATTTATAATCACACCTATGACTATTTATGAATCCCCTGCAGATTATGATTATGTTTGTTTTTTATAATGACACACTCTCAATGAAGGCCTTTTTTAATTAATTCAACTATATTTTTGTTACATGGTGTATTTTTTGGCTATTGTATATTGTGCATTAAACAATAAATTACTTGATCCAATGAGTAAAATGGCAGTGATAAATGGCAAGGAACTGAGTATTCAGTAAACTAGCTAGCATAATAAAGTTAAGTTTCTTTCATTACTTGGTTTGAATTACATTTGGAATATGAAAAAACCCCACCAGAATACAAGAATCTTACTGAGCATTTTTATTACATGTAGTATTGATAAAAGTGTGTGTGTTTTACACACAGCCGTCTGGTTCCAAACTATAACTATAAACATACCTATATATTTCTAAATACATACATTTTATAGATAAATTACACCAGTCTTACAGAATTACAGAACAAATCATTGTGCTCATCTCATAATTATTTGTCCTGGGTGGGAATTGAACTAACAACCTCCAGCTTAGCAGTCAAGGTCAGTAGTACTGACACATATTACAAATTGTTCTAACATTGAACTAACGTTTAGTTTGACTAGATGACATCTCACATAGGTACCATGTTTTGCGTGTAGCAGTAAATCACATGTAATAGCATGTGAATGACTATGATTTAGTGTGCACTAAATTTGACCATGCCTTTATAGGACGATGAAATGCAGACAGAATTCCACCTTCTCATTGCAAACACATCAAAACTTTGATAACTTCTTTTATGCATACTCAGCACAGCATCATTATCATCACCCTATCGCAGTCCACTACTGGACTTCAGTCTACTGCCATCCACTGCAGAACAAAGGCCTCTCCAAAAGGGCACCAACCATCGACGGTCTTGGGCTGTCTGCATCCATCCGCTGCCGGCTTCTTTTCTACTCATAGTGTGCACATTAGAAGAACCACAATGATCAGAATAGATACTCCCATACACTATGAGTATAGTATCAGCTATTATTTATCTTTAGATGTTAATAAGTAAACATAGTTTTATTTAAAGAATTCCTAATTCTTTTTTCATCATAACATATATATTAAGTTGGTATGTGTATGCTTCAAAACCACAAAAACTTCTGCAACGTTTAAGATCAAATTTGGACAAACTATAGAAATCTCTTCAAAGGTTTATTTATTTATTTCTTGTGTCAGTATTGATTCTCGTTTCTCATCAATGCAAGCTCAGTGTGGCTCAGTTGTACAGCTATGCTCAATATGAATACAGTAATATTAGACAGGTAATTGGCATTAATATGTACACCACTTTGTGGATTGAATTGTTTCAGTAAAGTTGGTCCACAAAACGCATTCCAAATTATCAGATACACCTTTAATACATAATTACATGACGTTTTTATTACTCCCTCATTCCAAAACTTCACAATCGTCATCATCAACAACCCCTCCGTCTAAAGCTGCATTTAAAATCTCATTCCGACATTTCTGTAACTCATTATCAATGAAACTCCTGTAGTATTTCGCTCGCTGTATACCTATGGTTCCTGTGGGTTCCCTATTAACCAAACCCTTTGTAAACGTGTATATGACCGTTGTAAAGTCGCCTTCTATAAAGGCTAAGTTTACAGTTGGACCGGTTTCAACAGTGCACAAATTCTCTTGTATTTGGTTGATAAAATCTATACTTAACATGTCCTGAGTAGGTATTGGTACGTAAATATTTGGTTTTTCCTGTTTGTTAGGTCGAGCGACGACATACAGCGTATCTATATCCTTGTTATAGCAGTATTCAGTGTCATACATTATTTTCTCGTCCACTAAATACATATACAGATAGTACGCTAGTGCGATTTTCATATCAGATTTGCAGCCCAAAGCTTTCATGTCTTGTTTAATTTTAGTCTCTATATCCATTTTTGTGAACAGTTAAATTTCTTAGTACTTTTATTGATAGTATTGATACTCTACAACCTCAAATTCCGAGTTCAAAACAACATGCTTTTTCAGTTTTGAGTAAAATGTCAAACTCAGTGTTGCCAAATGTTTAAAAACTTTTCCGCTAAAGCAATTTAAAAAAAACCACGAAGTTCACACTAAAGCTCCCCAACGACGTGTCAAGTATTTGGTCATTGCAATCAAATATACCTACACAACGCCATCTATTAAAACTTGAATCATTCTATCTAATAAAAAAAATTTTCTTTTGCTCTAGTAAAAAAAATGCTGTAAAATTAGTTAAAAAACACAAATTAAATTTAAGCCCTAAAAATACCCCCCCACAAATTTAACCCCCTAAAAAACTCCATTGATTTTGCCCCCGAAATTTGGGGACAAAACCACGGAGTTAGCATCACTGGTTGAACTTGTGTTTCGTTATACGCAATTACCTAAATGAGGTTAATGGATTAAACAGTTTTTTTTTCTTTGGAGCTTTTCTATCAAATCTGACTGTTTTGGGAACAATTTTCTTGTATTGATTAAAAAACAAAATGCGATATTATGGGATTTATAGAATAGATATTTGTAGTAGGAGTATAGCAAAACCACTCCATAAAATCATTTCAACGAATAACGATTATTGCTCCGACCGACACAATAAAGTGGAATTCATGTACCTACCGCGTAACACATCCTTTCTGACGAGCTGCTCGTTATGGATGTCTTGTACAAATATCAATCTAAATATTGAGTGCTCAATATTATGACGTACCAAAATATACACTTCAAATATAATCTAGGCTATTTAAAACCTAGATAGTCTTAAAGTAAATTTAAATGAAAGTTAATCTTATATATATAATTCTCGTGTCACAAAGTTCGTTCCCGTACTCCTCCGAAACGGCTTGACCGATTCTCATGAAATTTTGTGTGCACATCGGGTAGGTCTGAGAATCGGCCAACATCTATTTTTCATACCCCTAAATGGTAAGGGTGACCCATCCCTATTTTTTTTTGTTTTGCAATACAACGTTTGCCGGGTCAGCTAGTTTAATATAAAACTATATTATTTAATTTAACCGATGAAAATAGCTATTTGGCATACGATACGTTAGCGTGTACCTTCATGAAACTATCTTTTGAAGGTGTTTAGATACGTCTGGAAGGTCATAATAACATCTACGAGAAAGAAAAGGTCAGGTGCGAACATCCCAAAAATCATGAAACTTTTTCAAAGTCATCTGGATTAATGCAAAACTAATAATATCAAAAATTTATATTTTTGCTATTAGTATCTGTTATTTACTGTACTTGTTTTGTGTATTTGATGTAGGTACTTGTACTTGTACCCGACTTATCTCGGGTCATCTACACGCCGTAGATGGCCCCAGATAAGTCGGGGCTCCAGGGATTTCCTTTCTAGGGTACACCTGGTTTCTCGGCAACTGGTAGACAAGACGGCGTGCGGTTTTTGGTCGGTGCGAGTTCGACATTACCACCCCATCGGTGGGCGGTATCCGAGGGGATTTCCGCACAGAAAACAAAGGAGATTCTCATTACGATTGTTAATTTTAAGTTCGGCACTCCGTTAGTTTTGACCTGCTTTAGAATATTCCTGTTTAATTTTCACAATGAAGGTATGTTGAATGGATCTTTTCTACTGAACAGGGTTCTAGTTAATAAAATACAAATGTATTTTTAATTCTTTTATTTCATTGTATTTTACAGTTATAATTTCAGTGATTATCTAACAGATAGGCCCTATGATTATCTACCGAATGAAAAAGATTTCATTGTTTGGGTGGGATAGAATATACATTTATGAAGTAGGTCACTATCTTCGGTATCCCCATATCATTCTTGAGGTGAAATTTTTAACTTACAGTAGAAAAATGAACAAGGAAAATAAATAGGGGTTAATAAGAAAAGCTTAAAAGTAACGATTACAAAATTGTTCAGTCATATTTACATTTAAAGTAGGTTACAAACGTTTATAAAATATTCTCTTAAATGTATTTAACTTTAATTACCTAATAATTACGTAAAATATTATATTACATTGTGTAAACTCTTAAAACATGTTGCCACAGACCTTAAAAACATTTCAGATTATAGTTTAATTCATTAAAATTTATAATTAATTAGGTGGAACCAAGTAAAGAGATTCTGAAAAATACTATTTACAAGATTTCACCGTGTCAAGAACCTAATCCAAAGATTAAAACTAATAAATAGTTTATAATATAATAGATCTATTTCGATGACGCATACGAAGATATTGGTCTTAGCGATTTGATCACTCAAGATTGTGACATTGTTCACACATAAATTCACTATTTTGAACACAAGTCTTTAGCACCACTTTAAAGATTTTTTAGCAATTATAGGATATCTTTACTAGTTTTGATACATTTGCCTCTAAAACATATTTCTGTTTCGTGTGACACTTCAGTTGACATTGACGTGCTTAAAACATTAGAGGGGTCCATAAATGATGACACTGATGAACTTTCTACATCAGTGACTGGTATAAAAGTTGTTTCTACTGTGTCTTTTTCTGTTTTGGCATCTTCTAAAGAATTTGTTTTCTGAATTTCAGAAACATCTATGGCATCAGTATTGTCAGTATTTGCTGATGATGCTGTTATTTCTGTTATTTCTTCAGGAATAAAACCAGTCTCAGTAGTAACTAATTTCGTTTTGGGCTGCTCTGTTGTAATTTGAATATTTGATTCAGTGGTTTTTGTGCTGTTTTCTCCTACAGAACTGCCTTCACTACCTTCTGATGTCATTCCAAACAAATAGTTCATGAAGCTAAATGTATCAGATCTATCGTCAGCTTTAGTAGGTACTGGTTCATTTGTAGTAGAATAATACATGTCATCGACTGTGGGATCAGGAGAGCCTGTACCCAAATCTAAATCTCCAGGACTCATAGTTTGGGTTTCCTTTTCTACATATGCAGTTGTTTTCTTGCTCTCTTCGCTGGTGACTGTTCCTTCGTTAGGAGATTTTTTGCTTTTGATTTTATGTATGTCTACTGCAGGCATGACATCAACATCTGCAAAATCATCTCCGCTTGAAAAGAGGTCTGTAAGGTACTGCACCTTTGGTTTATAGGTAGTTACTTTAGGTTTATCATTAAAGGTCTTTTCGTGGACAACTTTCATGTTTTTAACGGGCTGTCCGAGACGATTGACGGTGCTGGTGTAGTATTGTGATTCGGCGAATTCTATGGATTCTGTCGCAGGACGTACTTTGACCTTCTTCCAGAAACCACGGCGACGAGATTTTCTGTCTTTGTTCTCCTGAAATGTCAAAAGTTATGAGCTATTAGGTAGGTAAATATAATATTGCTTGACTGCCGTGCCAATCCAACAGACTGTAACTCGACTTACAGTGTTTTGCCTTAACAACGCTCAATCAGTTTCTTTACGTCGATTTAGTACCCCTAATCAACACTTTTGTTATTCTAAAGTGAATTTTGAAAGAGACTTTAATCTAAAAAATACTGTATTGTAATGAACTTATGGTTTTAACATGATAAAAACTGTTACAAAGTCAAAAGCCGTTTTTAAAAGGTACAGTGTATTGGATTGCCACGGCAGTTTAGTCAGATAAGTATTTTATATTACTGCTTAAATTACAAATATAGATTTGTAATTTTATATTATAAAATTTAAATCCGTTCTAATAGTAGAACGAATTAAAATGTTATATTATAAACTATCAGTGATCTATCTATGCATTATAAAAAAAGCATTGAGACCTTGAATTCGCACTAATATTTAAAAAAATTTAGTGTTACGAATAATGACTTGGAATTATAAAAAAACGAAGAATCACACATAATCGCAATTGTAATGGCCACTTCTTTCCATGGACTTTCTCTTATTGAAAGTTTTACAACTAGGTAGAATTTACCGATGAGTTGGTGAATGACGACCGGATGGGGTAGTGGTTTGTGTAACGGACTGCTATTCCAAGGTCGCGGGTTGTAGTAAAAAAAAACTATACATATAATTATATTGTCCAGTGGTGAACAATATATGTAGTTGTATATAAATTGTATAGAAAAGGAATTATAATCAATTTTAAAATAATTAAATTTAAGTAAAAAAGTAGTATATAATTCTCACCTCATCAGGAAGAGGAGAATCATCAGCCGTGGTTAGCTCAGTTGTGACTTCTTCTAAAGGCATAGTGGACTTTGGCACATAACTGTCTCCCGAGGATATTACAATCTCTGGTGGTATTTCACCGATTTCACCACCTTTATGCTTCATAACATTAGTATTGTATTCGTCTTTATCCTGCTCTTCTAAACTCTTCATCACTTCTTCTAGCATACTCTCGAAAGTAGACATCGTGTCAGTTGAGTCACTCTTTGTCACTTTACTTTGTTCTACTAAAGCTTCTAGCGTCGGTGGAATATCAGGAATTTTCTTATTCATTCTATTGTTACTCACTGGTGTTACAGTTAAAAGAATGTCATCATATTCATTTCTTGCCGTGATTATATCCAATTCACTCTCCGTGTCAGGTCCTCGTTCTGTAGTTGCAGTTCTTTGTTCGTCTGTGATATCGTTGGGGTTGAACGGTTTGAACGAATCGCTTGAAATTTTTGGAGACCAATGTTCCCCTTCTAATTCGGTGTAACTTGGCCTGTTGATAGAGAAATTTGAGTCTTGGTCTTCTATTTCTACTTCAGGTTCTGGTTTCTTGTTGTATCTTTCTGATAGCCTCGGTCTGTGGCTGTATCTGGTATGTACCGAAGCTCTGGTGGTCGGAGAAGGTGCTTCAGTTATGACATCAGATTTTTCTGAGGTTTTTTCTGTCGGTCGACGACCTCTGAAACGGTTCTTCACATCATAGCTACGTTTAGTACTTGACGCTTCTGTTGATGACGTCGAGTAGGGGTGTAATGGTCTTCTACGGCGCAAATGGCTACGTTTAGTTGTAATCTCTGTGGTGGAAGATGACACCATGGCCGGTTCTGTTGTGGCCTCTGGTTTATAGACAGGGTGTTTGTATTCTTGTTCAGGTCTTGCATGCACTTGTTTTGTTTTCAAGTCAGCTTCAATCTCGTCAATCCTCATTGTTGTCCGGCGTCTATCAAATGCTGGTCTATAAGTGACTGGCTGAGGAGGCCTCCTTCTTTCTTTTACTTTTGGTGCATCACTTGAAGAAGTTTGATGATACTGTCTGATAACTCCTGGACGGACGCGTACTCGGTTATATGAAGGTGTAGTTTGGACAACATTTTCTTCTTCTTCAATTTCTGTACGTTCAGAGTTAGTAAGTTTAGTATTTTCAACTTCAGAAGCAGTATTTTCTTCCTCTTGTTTTATAGTAGCATAGTCGTTACGAGTCGAGTAATTTGGTTCGTTTTGTTCAGTAGCTGAAGTTTCAGTGGCATATGCAATTGGATCAGTTTTTTCTAAATTCGGTACACTTGTTGTTTGTTTAGCATAGATATCGTCTTCTTTATCATTTGCTGCTTCATGGTATCTTGATGCTTCTACCGGTGCAATACTGCTTCGTGGCTGATAATAGTATTCTTCATTACGCGGGGATTGTGATCTTGGTACGTATGGAGTTTCTGTTTGGAGAGTACTTCTTGGTGTATATGATGATAACGGTGATATATCTTTTACTTCTTCCTGCTCGCTAATTGCGGCCCTCTCATGAGTGTAGGCATTTTCTGTGTCAACAGTTTCAGTCACATGTTCTTGAAGATTAACAGATGATTGTTGAAGAGTTGGTTCAGTAATAGCTTCAATATCTACTGTGCTAGCGCGTTCCATTAAAGTAACAGGGTAGTTCTGGTGCAGTACATCTCTTTGGTATGCTAAGTCTTTTTCTTTAGTGTTATGATTCTTCTTCTTGTCGTGCGATTCGTCACTGCCAGACGGTCTGTAATGAATACGTCCACGCGTTCTTGTTTTTGTACTTTTTGTTGTACTTTCACCAGAGTCTACTGGTTTCCTAATTGGCTTTTCAGTTGAGATTTTATTTGGTTCATATCTTTGCCTAGTCGATTGTGGCCTTCTTTCTCTCAATGGCCTTCTCGATACTACTACTCTAGTCGTTGATTCGTAGGAGTCAGATCGAGGTGTTGTGCTATGTCGTGGACGTCCCCTAGACCTAATTGCTGTTCTTCGAGTTGTTGTAGTTGATGTTGAAGTCGAAGGAGTTGGATTAATTTCTGCATAGTCAGTATTTTCTCCATAATTATTATTCACGTCGTATTTTTGTTGATTAATGTTTTCAGAAACTGTTGATAGATTGTTTACTTCTGAAAGATTTCCTGGTTCAGGCGACGATGTATCAACATTTTGATTGTATTCGTTCTTATAATTTTCGAGTGTATCAATATTTGTATATTGATTGACATTAGACTCTGAGTCTGTCTTATAGTTATTTACTGAGGTATCAATATTTGTATTATATTTGTTGTAACTGTCAACGTTGTAATTATTGACTTCGGGACTTTCATTAGTATATTGATTCACTGAAGTTTCTATATTTGTGTTATGTTTATTGCTGGATGTATCCACACTTGTTACATATTTTTGTTTTTGAGTGTTGTCAACGTAATTTGGAGCTTGCGTTTGCTGTGAATCCGTCTCAGTATTGGTCACATAGTCATTCGAGTTATAAACTGGATACTTTGTATTACGATCTGAGTCATAATGTATTTCAGGAGAATAGTTATTTAAGTAGTTTGGTGAGGATTGTTGCCGATACTTTGGTTTGACGGTGACCATATGTTCAGATTGTGGCTGATGAGTTGACGGACTTCGTGGATTTGGTGTAGGCGATGGAGTTGAAAGTTCAACAGATTCAGGAGTGACCTGAGGTTGATTGATGTCGTCAAAGTAGTTATGGTAGTCTAAAGGCGTGCTGAAGTGGAAGGCCTGGTTTATTGAATACGGATTGTGTGTTTCTAAAAGTTGACTTGGATAAGTAGATGGCTGTTTAGTTGTAGTCGTAGTAGTTGTTCTTAAAGTTGTTGTCCGTTCTGGTTTTCTAGGGTGGTTGAACTGGTTAGTAATTTCTGAAGATTTGTAATTATTTTGGGGCGCAAAATTAGTAAACTCTTGTGAGTTATACTGAGGACGGGCATTACTTAGGAAGTAAGATCCTGATTTGGGAGGCGCCGTTTGGGTCTCTGGCTGCAAAGGTGTTCGAAGTGAAGAAACCGTCTGCGGTTCAAACGAATAATAGTTGGACTGATGGTTTGGTAAAGATTTCGTAGTTGGTGAGGCAGAACTATAGTAGTTGAAGGTTGGTTTCTGTGTAACAGGCTTTGGTTCAGGTTTATATGTGGATAAGTAATAGTTTGGATTAACATTAGGTTGCGAAGGTTGTGATTGTGTTGTTTCTTTGATTTGTGAGTTGATAACCACTGAACCTACGTGAGGTGAAGGGAAGGGAATTTTAGCAAAACCATTCGGAGTGTTGTAGCTTAAAGGAGCAACGAAAAATGGTAATTGCTTAAGTTTATTGTCACTGTGGTCGACGTTTGATAGATATGGCAATTCAAATTTCACGAAGTTTTCTGGTGGGGGCATATTTGAGGGTCCAATAAAAACTTTTGGCGCATTCATTGGGTTCACTGAATCTAGGACAGCAATCGTTTCTGCAGACTTCAGTGACGACAAAACATCACCAACTTTTAGAGGAGTGTTTTTGCCAGTATCTCTCATGAAAATAGCTAAAGGTGGCTGATGGGGCTTTAATTTTTTCGACTTAGGAGTAATAGGTGCAAGAGTTGGGTAAGGTGTAGTATGTGTCGTGAATTTTGGTACTTGATCTAAATCTTTAATTTGTGTGTTGAAGTCTGAAAAGTAGTTTTGTCCCGAGAAAGTATCAAGGGGTTTAGGAGATGGTCTGTAGTCATTCAAGAAATTTTGGGTTACTTTGTTTGGTCTCGGTAGGTTTTGAGAATACATTTCGGTATTGACTAGTTGAGAAGTTGTCAAAGGACTCCTAAAATTGAATTGGCCTCTGTTCAGTTGTTCTAATGGGACATACAGCAACTGTACTTCTTCTCTCTCATTGTTCGAGCGATGTGGTATAATTTCTTGTTTCACTTTTTCACCACCCTCAAATTTAATCTTTTGTAATGATTGCGGTCTCTTTTTAGAAGAAAAGCTGAAGTCATTACTAGCATTCTCAGCACGGTATCCATCGACGAACTTGGGTATGTCCGATTTCACTGGCTGCACGGGGTTTGCAAAGGGTTTGCCTTGAAGGGATAAGGGTACACCTGAAGCTTGAGGGAAGCCTAATTGACTCATAGGGAATCCTTGTATAGTTTGGGGTCGTCTTGACTGGGATTGTAGAGGACCGTTCTCAAATCCTAAAGGAGGAGCGATAAAGCCTTGGTTCAGTGGGAAATTGGGTTGTGACAAACCAAAACGAATGCCTTGGCTGAATCCTTGATCATTAAGGTAATTTTGTGGGGCTGATGGGACGGAAGGCACAGATTGTAAGTAGAGTGGTTGTCTATTGGCTTGGTTGTTAAAGTAGTTTCTTGATGAAAATCCGTCAGAACTAAAACCACTAGGTCTAGCAATTCCGGGGAAGGGCTCTGTCAGTATCCGAGGTTCCGCAACGGCTTGTCTCTTGATTGGCATCTGAGCCATTAAAGGTTCTCTCTCTACGGGACCGTCAAGGGGAACCCAATCGCTGAGGTCAGTGGTATATGAGTCGAGCTGACGAGACCATCTTCCCTCTTCTTTCGCTGCTGACGTCACAGCCAGAAGTGAAATAATGCAGGTCAGTCGGTGCACTGTGCGGTGCGCCATCTGAAAAGACAATAAATCTGATAAATATTTTTTACCAAAACAAAGAACAATGTAATTAGTTTTCAAAAGGCAATAGGTCAAGATGGTTTTTAAGTCTGAGATTTTTTGACCACATTGTGTTAATAGTGCCTCCTAATTATCAGCATTGTGCAATTGTATGAGAAAAAATGAACAGCTAAATAAACTATTACACAACAAACGTTTATTCATTCATTTTTAGATCTGTACGACAAGCACATAAATGAAAAAACTTTTTACCAGATGTAAAAGTTTCTGCTGCTTTAATATTGCTTTTTGACAAACGAAATGTCAAAATGAAAATAATATGGCGCGAAAAATTAATGCTACCGTTTTGACATTGCACAAAGCAAAACTAATTTGACTTAATAGCTCACTTATCAAGTTGCTATATCGTTATTATGGTTATCTATCATATTTTTCATATGAAGTAAGAAATGAAAAGCAACAAAAAAAATTACTCGTAATTATTGCACTTTGGAGCGGATCATGTTGTAGGAGGCCTTCAAGTAATTACAACTATACAAATAAATAAAATTGAAGTGTCAGTTTATAATGTCAAAATAATAGGTTTTTTTCATGCTTACACGGTTACGGCACGATACCTATACCTAAAAACCAGTTTAGTTAATATTTTTTGTCTGTCTGTCTGTTTGTTTGTTCTGGCAATCTTCAAAACGGCTTCACCGATTTTTATAATATTTTACTACCAAGTAGCTGTCTATATAAGGAGTAACTTCAGTTATTTTTTTCTCTCAGAAAAAACCTATAAAATTTTGCTTGGTCCGGGAATTGAACTCACTAATGCCACCAGCGCTTTTCAAATCAATTCAGTTAGTACAGCACAAAGGACAAGTATATGTTGGTCAAAAAAAACGTGATGAGATTTAAATGATGATATTACAAATGTTTTAACACTCCTTAGCTTGTGCTAAATGCACTTATGTGGATATTTATAAGAAACAAATAGGTATTATTTTCTATTTTTTTCTAAACATTTTGTAATAAAAGTTGTGGCCATATTTCAGAATCATAATGCAGATATAGACGTTTTTGCGTTAATCCTTTTAGAAAAAAAGGTTTTCATAGCAATCCAAACATTATATTAAAATATAGTTTATATTAAATTATGTTTGTAACCGACTCCTTTGGGCGTGATTTTGACTGACTTTAAACGGTCAGAATTCGTTCAAACTTTGTAGATATATCGAGGACCGATGACAATACACTGATTTAAAAAATAAAAATAGAAAAAATATATTTTAGGGGGTGCTTTTTACTATTGACAACAGGCACCTAACGCTTTTTTTCAAATTTATTAAAAAAAAAAACTATTTTTTAGTGAGGTTTTCTATAAAAAGCGTGCTTTTTTAATTTTTTTAAACTATTATTTTTTTATATGTTTTTTATTATTTTCCTCCTTCCTAATTTCACATCACATCACATCAACAGCCTTTAATAGTCCACTGCTGGACATAGGCCTGAGGCCTACTACACCACGCTGGCCCGACGGGTTGGTATAAAGTTTGTTTCAAGTTTTCCTTCTCTTTGCAGTGCTATAGTCCTGCGTAGTTTGATCCCTAGTCGGCTCTTACGACACCCACGGGATGAAAAGGGGCGGTGACACTCCGTATTCTTAATCCGTCACCACACGGACTTCCTAATTTAGTTTGGGTTTTTACATATATTTTTGAGCACATCCGGATATTGTTTTTTTTTTAGTGTTATACGTGCGAATCGGGTTCGGGACAACGGGCAGTTAATTAAACTTTAGATTAACCTTTTAATAATATATATACAGATTTATTTTAAATTAAAATCACCCACAGTCATCACATAAGTGCTTAAATTGGCATTCAGATTTTACATTGCAAGTTATGCGTAACTACTTACAGGAGGACTCGGCAATCAGCATGCATTCAGATACGATAAATTAGGCATTAAAGTAAACTTAAAATTTTAATTTTAAAGTAAACTTTATGCCTTGTATGCGTGAGATGATGTGATTGTGAGTATGCGTTTGCGTATGCATTATATGTATTGCGTATGCCATTGTCGCCTCTGTCAGCTCTATGACAAATCTCTTGGGGTCGGAGGTTAAGCCACTAAACAGAGGGGTGGGCTTCGTATAATTGTATGGTGTAGAATGGATGTACGGGTGTGTTTGTTGAATTTTTTTGGCATGTCTAACTACAGTGTATTGTATGTGGAAGGGAACTGACTGACTGATAATTTCACCGACGACAGTACGTCATAGCACTCGGATTAAAGAGCCATTAAAAAGTATCTCATTATATTCGATTCCCGCTCAAGTCAAACATTTGTGTGTATGAACATTTAATGTTTGATTTGGTCTTGGTGTTTCTATGTATAATATGTATGTATTTACAAAAAAAAAGTATAAATGTATTTATATCAGTTGTCTAGTACGCGTAGTACAAGTTCTGCTTAGTTTGGGACTAGATGGCGTTGTGTGAATGTGGTAGAATATTATTATTATTATTGTATCCCTTTTTTTATTATTTTCACCAATAATCAACATGAATATACTTTAAAACTTACGCAACGTACACGTACAAGTTCTCCTTACGCTGGTCGAAAAGTGTTACTATGACGTAACAATAGCCCTGCACTATCTGATTGAGATAATGTTTTTTTAAGTGTTTACTTTGATGCAATTTTTGCTGTAATAATATTCGCATGCAACAGTAGTGAGTGTATATTTTGTTTCAAGACTATAATTATTTTTTTATTATTTCACGTTAATTACGTTTTGACGTGTTCAAGGAATTCGAGTTTGACCTGTGAAATGACATGTGTAGTCCGTCCAGACGTGACCAGAGCTGCATGTGGATATTGGGGGCAAAGACATTGTTATATGAAATAGTTGGTTCTAAAAAACGACTTAAAACCAGGATTACAGTGATTAAAGTTCCGTTCGTTTTCAAGCAGTTACTTGTTAAGAATAAGCTGATTTTTTTACATAGCGAATAAGAGAGAGAGCGACAAAATAAAAGTCAAAGTTTATGTACGGAAGTTGACGGCTATAAGAGCGGAGGACGACCAAAGATGTCTTATCTTGATGGACTACGTCAAAGAGGATATGGCAAGGGAGAAAGCAGTGAACTGGCGAGTGATAGAGGCGAATGGAAGAAGAAAACATCCCTAAATAAGACCCAAGATAAAGTTAGGAGTCGGCTTAGAAGATGATCATCTCTGGAAGATCTCAATTAAAACGCGACATTCACCAATTGTCTTACGTATTCCCTAACAAAATTGATATAGTGGGGCTCACACTACATATATACATACCCACATACATTCACACTTATTACCTATACATATAATATTTATATTTAATATAATAAGTGTAACCTGTATTGGACCTTTTCTTGAACTTGTGGTATGTGAACCTTTTTACTTCTACCTAACACACTACAATATAAAATGTATTTTTTATAATAAGTTATCTTAATTAATATAACTTACAAAATAAACTTAATTTCAAAATGTTTTAAGTGCTATAACTTATTGTTGCAATCACTTACAGCCTTTTAATTATACAACAACATTTGCGTTAATGCAATAACGATCTAGTTATTAAGCTATTGCATAGCTTCTATCGAGGGCCTTGAGCGCGGGGACCGAATCCAGAAATTCCGTAACGAAAAAACAAAACAAAAAACAGTACCAAAATCAAATGCTGAACGTCAAAGGAAATTTCGTCAACATAATGCAGAAAAATCTTACATGGATATGTAATTTGATTTAATAATAATATTTTTTATTTATTTATTTAAAAACAAATTGTAATATATGCTTCAATATTTTTATTTAATAAAAGCAAAAAAAATTGTTTTCTTATCGGTCACCACGCTCAAAAAGTGTAACTTGAATTAATATCAAAGAAAAAGAAATACTGCATAAATAAAATAAATAAATAATTATAATTGCATAAGTTGATACAAAATGCTATGCAATAGCTTTACCGCGGCAGTCCCCGAGTGCCACACGTCTTTTTTTTTATTACACTTTTGGTTTCGTTGTATTTATTTCTATATCAAGGTATTATGGGGAGCAGAATATGTGTTAAATAAATACACTTAAGGTAAGTTATTACTATTAAATAATAATCTAGAATTACACAATTTAGTGATAACCGAATAGCAAATACATTGCAAAGTTAAATAATCCTAGCCAGGTCAGTCTATTGATAGATGACCATTCTTAACACATTGAGCATGTTACGGTTTAAGAATCTTTATTTCTCAAAAGAATTTACAAAATTCACTTACTGAGAAATCATACAAAAAATTAAACAAAATAAATATATTGAGCCTTTGAATATAACAACAAATAAAAGGGGGTAGTCAAATATATTTTGCAAAAGATTACTATAACCCGGCAATCTCGTGCGCGACCGTCCCGCGGGGTGACAGACAGTGGCGGGGGCGAGGTAGCGCGTCATACTAGCACACGGCTACACACGAAGAGAAGTGTTTCCCTTCCCCGCTACACCAACCCGCTACCCGCTGACATCTTGAGTACCTCGTCCCCGCCACCGTCTGTCACCCCGCAGGACGGTCGCGCACTACGTTGATGGACTATAACTTGCAAAACACTCGACCACAGGAACCAAGCAACTGAAGCAAAGATAGTAAAGTAAAGCCGTGGTAATGTTAAGCCGTCAGGATGTCATACGAACATCAGCGGCAATCGTTACGGGTAGTTGGATCCCTTAAAAGACCGACCAAAAGTCTGTCTAAAGAACTTTTATATCGCCTAGTACTTGGGTTGTCGAGGTCTCTGCGTAAAAAGTTGAGCCTTGTCGTAATAGACTTAAGGTTCAGAGGAAGAAAGAATTACACTAGTTTGTGCAACTACTACCTACAATTACCGAAATACAATGCATAGGGTAACTGTGGATCAGTTGAGTACAGCGGATCACGCACATATTGACGAAACCAATGTAGGTAGCGCTG